TTATGGACTGCAAGAACGCTGGATCACGTATGGCTCTAGATATAAGGAAGTGCATAATGTTTCCTTTCCACCTTTCAGCTATTTCGTTAACTTCATTTCCAGCCAAGCAAAGACCCGAAATGATCCAAGCTTTTCCTTTTCTTCAACCTGCATCACAAGTCAAATAAAACAAGACAAACCAGTGAGACATTACAGTAACAACAAAACAGTGTCAGTTAGAAAAACTGAGGTTATGGCTACACCTGTAACACCCAATAACAGTAGTCAAGAAAAGAGAGTAGATGAGCCAGCAGATCGTTGTCCAATGCACAACAAGCCACATCCCCTAGCAAAGTGTCGTGGGTTTAGGGGAAAACATTTAGATGAAAGGAAAGCTTATCTAAAAGAAAACTCAATCTGTTTTCGTTGTTGTGCATCCACTAAACACTTGGCTAAAGACTGTAAGGTTGCTGTTAAATGCAAAGAGTGCAATAGTGACAGACACATTAGTGCCCTCCACCCTGGACCTGCTCCTTGGTCCACGGGAGCACAAGCGATGGAACAAGAGCATGGCGGGGAGCAAGACAATGCCTCATCTCCCGAGGTCACCTCTAAATGTACTGAGATATGTGACAAAACACAAGGACTCAGATCGTGCTCAAAAATCTCTCTAGTGAATGTGTACCCAGCAAACCGCCCAGACAAAGCTCAAAAAATGTATGTGGTCTTAGATGACCAAAGTAATCGCTCTTTGGCAAAATCTGATTTCTTTGAGCTGTTTGACATTAGTGAAGCTCCATCTACTTACACTTTAAAAACCTGTGCAGGCATTAGTGAAGCTACAGGTAGGAAAGCTCACAACTTTGTTGTTGCGTCACTTGATGGACAAACACACATAGCATTACCCCCTCTTTTAGAGTGCAATACAATGCCAGATGACCGCAGTGAAATTCCCACACCTGACATTGTACAGTATTTTCCTCACCTAGCACCAATAGCAGGTAAAATACCACCACTAGAGCAAGACACGCCCATCCTTCTGTTATTGGGACGAGACATTCTCAGTGTACACAAAGTGCGCGCGAGCAGTACAATGGCCCGCACAACACACCTTATGCTCAGCGGCTAGATTTGGGGTGGGTTATTGTGGGTGAGATCTGTCTGGGGAGAGCTCACAAGCAGACTAAAGTGAATGTTTACAAAACTAGCATTCTACAAAACGGCCGCACTTCCTTCCTCGAGCCTTGCACTAGCGCCATTCATGTAAAAGAGACATTCACTCTCCCTAAACTGCAAACTGTTGTTTTCGGTGACATGGAGGCAGCTCTACTCAAACAGCCAGACACTCTAGGGCTCAACGTGTTCCAAAGAACGCCTGATGACGATAAACCAGCCTTGTCTCTTGAGGACAAAATCTTCCTTGAGATCATGGACAGGGAGGTGTACATGGACAGTGACAACCACTGGGTGGCGCCCTTACCCTTTCGTAATCCACGCCCTCTCCTTCCCAACAACAGAGAACAGGCTCTGAAACGCCTCACTGTTTTGAAACGGACATTAGATAAAAGGCCAGACATGAAAGAACAGTTCATAGATTTTATGGAAAAAATCTTTGCAAATGACCAAGCAGAAATTGCCCCAGAACTAGAACCAGGTGAAGAATGTTGGTACCTACCGATATTTGGAGTGTACCACCCCCAGAAACCAGGCAAAATCCGAGCCGTGTTCGATTCAAGCGCCCAGTTTAATGGCATCTCTCTTAATGACACTCTTCTTAGGGGACCAGACTTAAACAATACACTGCTTGGTGTTCTTTTGCGCTTTAGAAGAGAGCAGGTAGCAGTTACTGTTGATGTAGAGCAGATGTTTTACTGCTTCAGAGTAAAGGAAAGTCACAGAAACTATCTCAGGTTCCTATGGTTCAAAGACAATGACCTGAACAAAGAAATAATAGAGTTCCGCATGAAAGTTCCAGTATTTGGGAACAGTCCATCCCCAGCTATTGCTATCTATGGACTGAGACGAGCAGCTGAGCTAGGGCAGGAAGAATACGGCTCAAACACAAAACAGTTTGTCTTTCGCAATTTCTATGTTGATGATGGACTGGTTTCTGTGTCCAATGAGAGCCAAGCTATTGAACTTTTGTCTCGAGCAAGAAAAATGCTGGCTGAATCAAACATACGGCTTCACAAAATCGCCTCAAACGTCAGTCAGGTCACTAATGCATTTCCACTAGAGGAGCGAGCAGCAGATCTTAAGGATTTAGATCTGGATGTGGACCCTCTGCCTCTTCAACGAAGTCTTGGGCTTGGGTGGAACTTAGAAAATGACTCTTTTACATTCCAAGTGGGAAAAGATACTAAGCCATTTACCCGCAGAGGCATACTTTCTGTTGTAAACAGCCTATATGACCCCCTAGGGTTCGCTGCCCCAGTGACAATTCAGGGCAAAGCACTGTACAGGGAGCTAACTCTAGAACAACAGGACTGGGATGAACCTCTACCAACAAACAGGGAGATAGAGTGGACCAGATGGACTGAATCACTTACTGCTCTTGAAGGTCTCCAAATCCCCAGACCCTTTGTACCAATTTCACTGTCACATACTCAAACAAGGGAACTATGCATTTTTTCAGATGCTTCAACAATGGCAATAGCAGCTGTAGCTTACCTCAGGGTTGTTGACACAAATGGTCAGTGCCATGTGGGGTATATGATGGGTAAATCTAAACTAGCGCCATCTTCTGCCCACACAGTCCCACGCCTAGAACTGTGCGCAGCTGTTTTAGCAGTCGAACTCGCTCAGATAATCATCGAGGAAAGTGACATTGAGTTTCAAGCTGTCGACTTTTATACTGACAGTAAGATAGTTCTTGGGTACATTCACAACAGCACTCGTCCGATTCTATGTGTATGTAGCTAATAGGGTTGCCCAGATCCGCAGATCAACCACACCCGACCAGTGGCATCATGTGGCCACAGACCAAAATCCAGCAGACCATGGTACCAGGCTCGTTCTCGCATCACAACTGCAATACACAACCTGGCTCTCTGGTCCTCTGTTCTTAAAGGTCAATACTGAGCAACGTGATAAGCCTGAAAGTTTTGATCTTGTGGATCCATCAGTGGACATGGAAATCCGTCCTCAAGTGACCACTTTAGCAACAAACGTCAAGGAGAACAAGCTTGGCTCACACAGATTTGAGCGTTTCTCAACCTGGAAATCCTTGGTTAGGGGAATGCAAGCTCTCATTCACATGGCAAGGTCGTTTTCAAAGGTCATACCTACGGACCACTGTGATAAACACTCCACAGATCTCTCTCAAGCAAAGACAGTTGTTATCAAATGTGTTCAACAGGAGATCTTTAGAGAGGAAATCAAAAGACTTTCTGAGGGAAAAGAGATATCCTCGCACAGTCCCCTTGAAAAACTTGATCCCTTTATTGATAGTGAAGGTTTGTTAAGGGTTGGGGGACGTTTGCAAACAGCAGATCTTTCTGAACTAGAAAAACACCCCTTGATTATCCCAGGTTCTCATCATTTAGCAGTTCTCTTAGTCAGACACTATCACAACCAAGTAGCTCATCAGGGACGTCAGTTTACGGAGGGTGCTCTGCGCACCGCAGGACTTTGGGTTCTAGGGGCTAAAAGACTGGTTTCTCGCATAATTCACCAATGTGTCACATGTAGGAAACTAAGGGGTCGTCTAGAGGAACAAAAAATGGCAATTTTACCTGCTGATAGGCTTACCATTGACCCGCCATTTACTTACGTAGGTTTAGATGTTTTTGGACCTTGGAATGTCACATCCCGCCGCACAAGGTCAAACAGTGCTGAGAGCAAAAGGTGGGCAGTGATGTTTACATGTCTTTGTACTAGGGCAGTGCATATAGAAGTTGTCGAGTCAATGTCCACCTCCAGCTTCATAAACGCTCTCCGACGATTCTTGTCAATCAGGGGACCAGTCAAACGCCTTAGGTCAGACCAAGGTACAAACTTTATCGGTGCCTGTAAGGAGTTGCGAATCAACTCTGAAGATCCAGAAATCAAGAATTTCTTACAGGACCAAAGCTGCACTTGGGCATTCAACACCCCGCATTCCTCTCACATGGGAGGGGTGTGGGAGAGGATGATCGGACTAGTTCGAAACATTCTCGACAGTTTACTTTTGAAAAACTCTAACAGTCGTCTCACACATGAGGTATTGGTCACTCTTATGGCTGAGGTCATGGCCATAATGAACGCCAGGCCTTTGGTCCCTGTGACTACAGATCCTGAAACACTGGAAATCCTCTCACCTGCAATGCTTCTCACTCAGAAGGCCAGTCCAGTGTTATCACCTCCGGGGAATTTTGAACTCAAAGACCTTTACAAAGCCCAGTGGCGTCAAGTTCAGGGGCTTGCCGATTGTTTCTGGAAAAGGTGGAGGCAGGAATACCTCACCACTCTGCAAGCAAGACGAAAATGGAAAGCAGAAAAACCTAACATAAAAGAGGGTGATGTTGTTTTGTTTTGTTAAAAGACACTCAAATCAAACGTAATGAATGGCCTGTTGGTATTGTAGTTAAGGCTATTCCCAGTGATGACAAAAGGGTAAGAAAACTTGAAGTCAAGATTGTAAAACAAGGTTCTGTTAAGACGTATATGAGACCTGTTACTGATGTAATTGTACTTTTGTCTGAAAATGGGGATAAAGGTTAAATAGTGGTATATTCATTAATATACCAGGCGGGGAGTGTACTGTTGACCCATTTAATACTTTATTTGTTATAAAGTTGATTGCCGCCCTCTAGTGGACGCCTTTGGTTTTAAGTTTTGTTTTTTCTACCGCACGTGCTCACTTACAAGCGTGATCGGTTCGCAGTCTGACAGAATACGTCTCTGTTTTCGGCCTTGGGGCATCTTTGTCCGTAAGTTTGGCTTGTTTTGTGTTATAATATCGTTTTCTTGTATTGTTATAAATATCTGAAGGTTGGAACGGTGGTTTTGGCGCATTCGCGGTGTTGCTTATTGCTAGTTTCTTTGCTAGCTCCGTCCTGTGTTTGGGCTGGGTAGTGGGGCTTTTATTTTTGTCGTAACATGCACGATTTGTTAATACACATCTTTTGTGTGTTTGTTGCAGTTTTACAAAAAAGGAAAAACGGAAAAAAGAAAAAGACAAAGAGACAAATGTGGAAATAAACGTCCGTAAAGACAAGTCTTTTCCATATGGTCGTGTGGACTCTCTTTTTTTGTATGTTCGCTATCTGTCTAGCCCTGGTAGAGACGCCATCGTGAGGACAGAATAGTCCTAGTTTAGTCTTAGTTTAATCCTGCTTTAGTCCTGCTTTTAGTCCTGCTTTTAGTCCTGGTTTAGCCCAAAATGTGAAAACAGAAAAATACCGCCCCGTAATCCATTTATTTCAACAAAGTAACTGTAATCTAATTACCACTCATTGAAACAGTAACTGTAACCGAATACAGTTACTCATAATTTGTACTCTGATTACGTAACTCCGGTACATGTAATCTGTTACTACCCAACACTGCATTTCAGTATTCTTAAAAAGAATAACTACATCTTTCAGTGTGGAATGCATTTTTCAATAATGATTGTTGAAATGAATGTGTGACATACGTCATCAGAACAATAATCCTTTAACCTGTTACCACCCGCCTCATTTTGGTGTGTGCACAATGGTAAGACATACCCAAATGTCATAGCTTATTAAAAAGAAAACCTTAGAACCCACATGCTTGTGTGAGGCACCATTTTAAAGCTTAGGCCTTCTAGTTTCTGTAGATATGTACATGAAGACTGTGAGTGCTGCCTAACCTACAGTACAGTCAATTAAAATTGAAAAAAATTGTATTTTTTTGCTTCGAAAAAAAAATGAAAAAAATTAAAGGCCTTAGCTTGGTCATACTTCATGCTAGACATTTGTGACTCACTACACTCGTTGTTCAAGTTGTTGGCAACAACTGTGTAGAATTTCAGACCTCTAGGACAAAGGGTTTTGATGCTGTGAGCCTTTGTGTATACAAAATGACAATTCGGCACAAGATTGCCAAATTTGTGCCAAAATAATAATAATATAATAATAATAATAATAATAATAGTTATTATTATAATACTAATTCTTCTGAGCTTTAGGCATGTCTTCTCATGAAAAAAAACTAAAAGTAGCCAAAATTGTCCTCCAAGTGAAAGATCTGCCCAATATGGCACCGCCTGCACTGCTCCCTGTCTCCCTCGCCTTTACGCTTATAAACACAGGCTCCGTTTCCAATACAATCTGAATGTCCCACCCACCGTTTGAAAGCTCTGGTGATAGGCTAAAACAATATGTCAATCACTTTCTGGAAGATCCAACTGAAGAGATTTCCCGTAAACAAACTGATGACGCGTGCGTAAAGGTAGGAAGTACGTGAGTGCGTTAGCTTCTTCAGCGGCTTGCCCCGCCTAAACCCCGCCACCGACAACAGCGGGGAGGGTCTCATTTTGAAGCTAAGAGTGTGAGGAAAACAAGCGCACCCAAGAGCGGGAGAGAAAGGGAAGTCACAGAGCGGAAGAAGAGGCGGAGGAGAGACATAATATTTTCATTCACGGATTCATCCACTCATACGGACGACGATTTTCTGGATTATTCCCCCACATGGAATTATTTTTTGGAAAAACAACTTGATATTCTTTTTCTGTGGATTATTACGGATTTATTGAGTACAACTTTTCATGGATTGAACGCGTTTTGGACCGACAGAACCGGCTCAAAGGTAAGAAACGCGTATCTTATTCTTTGTTTATGATGTGAATTTTTAAGTTATAGCGTTTTGGGCTCGTTGTACGGCATAAAATGAATGATATGGTTGTTTTATTGATAAATTAAGCTTTCAAACGATGTATGGCATGCCAGTAGTGAAAACAATAATGTAACGGCGGTTACGAAATGAAAACGTGAGACAGGTTGGCTTGTATTTCAGCTTTAATAGAACCGGCAAAATAGCAACAGTGCAGGGTTAAATTTCAAACACTCCTGCCTAACTCATGGTCTGAACGCTCCCCCCCGAAAATGGCTGCCTGTCAATACCTAGCCCCAAATAAAAACAATCCCATAAAGCATTGCGACAGTTTGTAGGTCGCTACACAGCCCCCCACTAGCACGATTAACTGTCCCCAGTTAGCTGTCAACAACAAAGTCACTCAGATGTGAGGGGAGTCTCCGTTGCCTCCGAGGGCGATGCGGCGACTCGCCATTGGTGGCTGCCGCAGGGCTACTTGATGACGACTGGATTTGGTCTCCTGAAGCTCCCACTGTTGGAACCAAGGGCTGGTAGGGGGCAAGCCGATCTCGGTGAAGAACTACAACCCTACCCCTCTGAGATAGTTTCACCCGATACACAACATCTGACAGTCTTGCAAGGACAACACATGGCCCCACCCAATGGCTACAAAGCTTAGGCGAGTGTCCTTTCTTCCTAACTGGGCTATAGACCCACACTTTATTACCCATGCTGAAATCCTGCCCCTTGCAGCGGAGATCATAAGCCCTCTTCTGTTGGATTCCTGCACTGGCCAGATGTTCCCGGCAGAGCTCATGGACTAATTGAAGCTGCTCCACCAAGTTGAAGAAGTAGTCCAGTCCAGGCTCCCCTCGCACTTCTGGCTCCGGGGGGGACCCAAAGACTAGGTCCACTGGGGTGCGTAGCTCATGGCCAAACATTAGTGCAGCGGGAGTACACCTTGTCGACTCCTGCACAGCAGTTCTGTACGCCCACAAGACCAAGGGGAGGTGACGATCCCAGTCTCGCTGTCGGTGGCTGGTGAGGATGGCAAGCTGCGTGGTTAGTGTTCGGTTAAAACGTTCAACCAAGCCATCACTTTGTGGGTGCAAGCAGTGCAGGTATCACACCTGTGAACAAACATCTCTACATCGCGTCTGCAACCTGGCCAGTAGAATCTTTGTCTAAGTCGCTGTAAGGTTTTGGTAACGCCAAAATGTCCAGCACCCACTGCCCCATGAACCCACTGAAGGACTCTAGCTCGCAGTTTATGAGGGACCAGGAGCTGCAGTATCTCTCTCTGTCCATTTGGGGAACTCCAACAGCGGCAGAGGACCCCATTCCGGACACTGAGGTTGGGCCACTGGGAGTGCAGAGCTTTTGTCTCAGAGTCCAATGCTGACACATTTGACCACTCTGGGCGTTGGCCATCTTCCACCCAGGAAAGTACTCGAGCTAGAACCGGGTCCTGTTGTTGGTCTTGCTGGAGCTGCTGAGGATCGATGGCCTCTTGGGGGTCTGACACCACCACACATTGCAGTGCTGCTACTTTGGCACCAGGACTATGCTCCTCTGCCCGTTGACAGAAGCGGCACATCTCATCACATGGCCTCCGTGACAGGGCATCAGCATTACTGTGAATTCGACCTGCCCTATACTGGATGTCAAAATCATAGTCCTGTAGGATCTCTATCCACCTGGCTAGCTGCCCTTCGGGTTCCTTAAAGTTCAACAGCCAGGTGAGTGAAGCATGGTCAGTCCTCAGAACAAACCGCTGACCATACAAGTACGGTCGGAAATGGCGAAGACCTAAGACCACTGCTAGCAGCTCCCGGCGGGTAACACAATAGTTCCTCTCTGGTTTGCTTAGGGAGCGACTGTAATAGGAAATGACCTGTTCACCATGCTCTCCCTCCTGAGAAAGCACGGCACCCAGACCCACGTTGCTGGCATCGGTATCCACGATAAAGATCTTTTTTGGGTCTGGATAGGCCAACACTGGGGCTTCAACCAAGGCACAGCGCAGGTGGTTGAAGGCTGCAGCACAGTCATCTGTCCACTGGAAGACGTGGTTTTTCTGGGTCAACTTGTGGAGGGGGCTGGCAATGGTGGCAAAGTCTTTTATGAACCTTCGGTAATAGGAAGCCAAGCCCAAGAAACTGCGCAGCTCTGTAATGTCATTGGGGGTAGGCCACTCTCGCACCGCAGTTACTTTAGCTGGGTCAGTGGAGACTCCTTTGCCACTGACAACATGGCCCAGAAAAGAAGTCTGTTTCCTGAACAACTGGCACTTCTTAGGGTTCAGGCGCAGGCCTGCTTGGCGGATGGCTTGGAGAACGTCCCGCAAGTTGTCTAGGGCACCTTGGAAGTCTGCTGCGTGGGCCAATAGGTCATCCAGGTAAACAACGCAGCAGCTCCTGGGGATGTCTGCAAGCACCCGTTCCATCAGGCGCTCAAAAGTAGCTGGAGCATTGCAGAGGCCGAACGGCATAACCTTGAACTGCCACAGACCTTGGCCGATCGAAAAAGCGGTCTTGGGGCGGGCCTCAGGTGCCAGCTCCACCTGCCAGTACCCGCTGCGAAGGTCTAAAGAGCTGAACCAGGAAGAGCCAGAGATATAGTCCAACGCATCGTCGATGCGTGGCAGGGGGTACGAGTCTTTACGTGTGATGTCATTAAGGCGGCGGTAGTCCACACAGAAACGACAAGTCCCATCTTTCTTCCGGACTAGAACTACAGGTGCTGCCCAGGGACTTTTTGATGGTTCAATGATGCCTGCCTGTAGCATCTCTTCAATCTTTTCTTGTGCTGCACGTCGTTTAGCGAGGGGCAGCCGGCGTGGCCGGAGGCGAACAGGGCGGGCCTCTCCAGTGTCAATATCGTGAAGGACCAGATTAGTTTGGGTGCAATCTTCATCTCTGGCAGCGAACACATCAGCAAACACCTCAAGCAGAGTCTTTAATTGTTGTTGTTGTTCAGCATCTAGCCCTTCACAGCTTCTTGTAAAGAGATCAGCAATGGCTTGGCTTGTCTCCGGGGATAGCGGCTGCGGCGTTGGTTGCTGCTCCCCTGCAGGTGGTTCTCTCTGCGGCTCTGGCGGCTCCCTCTGCGGCACTGACGGCTCCCTCTGCGGCACTGACGGCTCCCTCTGCGGCACTGGCGGCTCCCTCTGCGACGCTGGCGGCTCCCTTTGCGGCACTGGCTGCTGCACCCACGACGGCGGCTCCCTCTGCGGTGCTGGTGGCTCCCTCTGCGGTGCTGGCAGCCCCCTCTGCGGCGCTGGTGGCTGCACCCACGGCGGCGGCTCCCTCTGCGGCGCTGGCGGCTCCCTCTGCGGCGCTGACGGCTGCACCCACGACGGCGGCTCCCTCTGCGGCGCTGGCGGCTCCCTCTGCGGCGCTGACGGCTGCACCCACGACGGCGGCTCCCTCTGCGGCTGGCGGCTCCCTCTGCGGCGCTGGCGGCTCCCTCTGCGGCGCTGGCGGCTCCCTCTGCGGCGCTGACGGCTGCACCCACGATGGCGGCTCCCTCTGCGGTGCTGGCGGCTCCCTCCGTGGCGCTGGCCTCATAACTCTACAGGCCTCAGGTTCACAGGACTTGTGAAGCGCTATGGTTTCGGCGCCAAGATGAAGAGTGGCTCCAGACACATCCACCATAGCCCCCCACTCACACAGCAGGTCCAGTCCAATAATACAGGGATCTTGAACATTAGCTAACCAGAACTGATGCCATACCTGTAGGTGGCCCACAGAGACCTGTAATGTCCTAGTACCCAGCATCTTGGCTCGCTCACCAGTGACTGTTGTGATGTTTTGTTTGGTGGTGGTCCAACCTTCATGTATCTTGTCACCCGAGCTTGGCAGGGTACCAGGCTTGATTAGGGAGATGGTAGACCCGGTGTCCACTAGGGCACGACACAGAGTCCCTTCAACCATACAGTCCAAATAAAGACCATGAGCTTGCCCCAGACGTCCGAGACGCATCATGGATGTATTGGGGGTAGTTGTGTCTGTCCTGGATGGTAGCTCCCCCTCGTTGCCATCCCGTGCTAGTTTAAATCTGCATGCAAGCTTAGTGGCGCAGGTGCTGGGCAATAACGAGCGATGTGGCCAGGGGCCCCACACCTGTAGCACTCACCCTCTTGTCTCCTGGATCGGCGGCGTTGTGGCGTTGACATGGCCCGTCGCGATGGTTCCTCCTCCACATCATGGTCCTCGCTCCTAACCTGATTAACACGAACGGCTTCGTGGCGGCGATAGCCGTCTGGACACAGGACATGCTCCACCCGCTCGGCCTCAGCGAGTGCTGCTTCTAGAGTGGTGGGGGAGAGCAAGCGCATGTGTTCACGTAGTCGTCCTGGCTGTAGTCCCCTCAGAAAAGCCTGGACTGTTAGCTCCTCCTGCACCCTCTCGCTAAAATCAGGGTGCCCACGGCGAGTATAGCTACGAAGGTCTGCTGCGTAGGTACCCAGGCTTTCTCCCATCTCTCTCCGACGCTTTGCTAGCCGATCTCTAGTGTCCTCGACAAAAAGGTGACGGTCAAAGCGGCGCTGAATAGCTGCACTCAGCTTTGGCCAATCCCGGAGCTCCTCTGGCCGCAGATCTGTAAGAATTTGTAAGGCTCGTCCCTCCAGGGAAAGAGCGACATGCCCCGCTGTCTCCTCGGCAGACCATCCGTTAATCTGCCCAGCTAGCTGGACCTGTAGCAGGTAGGTATGAGCCGGCTCTTCCCCGTTGTAGCGGTGGAGTTTTATCGCGGACTGGCGGTGATGTTGGAGCAGTTCCGCTGCCCCGTCTAGTCCTCTAGATCCCGCCAACCCGCCAGCCTCGCCCCGCCACTCTGCTTGCTGCGCACTCCGGCGATTAGCTTGTTGCCCGCGCGCCAAATCCACCGCAAATAGGCTCTCTTCTTCCCGCTCCTGGGAAGCCGGTCTGGGCGTATTTGCAGGTCGTTCCCCTTGCCTCTGACGTTGTGCTCGCCGGGGTTCGCTGGCT